GTACAACTGATTTTTTTCTTTCAGCATTTGGTATCCTTGAGCTTATTTGTGCATCAGATTATTGCAATATCGTTACTTAGAACTACTGCAGAAAAATCAACATTGTACTCTGTTCTTCATTTGCTTTACCAGCTGTTTTGCATTATTTGGAAAAAAAAAAAAAAAAAAAAAAGCTGCATGTAATGGTAAAACATAATATCACTCACACAATTTTATTAATTTGTTTTTGACCAGAAACCACCATTTTCTCCCATTATATCTATTTCTTATCATTCAGAAAATTGATGACATGCTGTGTAAGTTTGTCTTCCAGTTTGTTTTCTTGGAAGAAGTTTTCTGGTTGTTTCATCTGTGGTTGTGTCATTTCAACAGCATGCTATACCTCTGTCCTATGGCTAAGTGGCTTCAGATTGCTTTGTGCTTTTTCATGTTTGGTCAATTTAACTCAACCTTGATCTTTGCCTTACTGTTTTGCATACCAGTATTGTTTTGGGTGCTCTTGGTATTTATGCTTACATATTTTTGAGAAAACAGGCCTTAAGCTACTCTCTCTACAGTTTTCTACATGAATTCTTTTAAAGAACAACAAGGAAAAAAGAAAAAGCAAAACTGAAAAAGAAATCAGCAACAACAAAAGAGGTTTGGCCCTTTCTTTAGCTGTAAGTTAACATTTTTCTTTTAGTCTGACATAAATGGCATAAATTTGGTAGCTTGTCATAGCCTAGTAGTTAATAGTTCCACCATTGTTTCTTGCAAACAGCAATCAAGATTGTTTGGTCTGTCTCACATATTTATGGTACAACCAACAAAACCTCCACTACATTCAAGATGCTGTTCCCACTACTTCTAATGGGACTTCCATCACTGTGTTTAGATCTGAACACTCCACTACTAGTAGCAGTACATGTAAAAGAGTGGAACAGAATATCTAGAATTGGAAAGGATCAAAAGGATCATCAAGTCCAACTCCTGGTTCCACAAAGATCCACCCCAAAATCAAATCATATTTCTGAGAGTGCTGTTCAAATGATTCTTGTAGTTCAGAATGCTTGGTGCCACAACCTGGGGAGCCTGTTCCATGCCCACTACCCTCCGGTGAAGAACCTTTTCCTAACACCCAACCAACCCTCCCCTGAATGGCTCCATGCCATTCCCTTGGGCCCTGAACCTATCATCAACACTGACCTTCCACTCCTTGTGAGGAGCTGTAGGCTGATGAGGTCTACACTCATTTTGTATAGGTCAAGGAACATCAGTTGCTCCCCATACATCTTGCTCTCTATACCTTTCTTCTTCTTCCTAGCCCTCCTTTCGGCACTCTAATAGCTTAATGCCCTTCTTAAGTTGTGGCCCCAGATTTGCACTCAGTGCATGAAATGCATACAGGTGCCTTTGTCCATTTTAGGTGATGATATCCAAATGATCTCGAACATATCAACTGAAACTTCAGCTTTTATTCTAATTTAAATGTTATTTTACCATCTTGAATAAATGCATCTTACCTGTCTCAACAATATTGCCTGTTTTCAGCTTATTTGGCTTTAAGTCAAGCCTCAGCTGCTCTATAATGATTTGTTCAAGTTTATGACATTACACATTGTTGACTAACAGCCTCATTTTGCTTACTGTCAACATTACAGCTGGTTTTGAATTTTTCTAAGTTGCCTATTCTGGCATGAATTTAATTTCATTGATGTTTAACACTGATCCTGAGGGCTCCTCTTTGACTGTTTGTCACCCAAAGATCAAATACTTTTGCTGTTGACTTTTAAAATCAATTATAATCTTGCAGGATTTGGCTGAGAGGATAACCCAAAGTGAAAGGCAACGAGTCTTAAGAGAGAAAGTTTCCTGATGCATTAAATAAGATTGATTTTCTACTTGCAGAAACAAAAGATCTAGTAAAAGAAAGGAGAAAAAAAAAGGAGCTAAGTCTTTCCTATGATACATATAAAATGTGCATAAATCCATATTGCTGTTGTTGAATTTTAGGATCTGTTATAATAGAGGACAGTCTGGCAAAGTGCTGGAGGGATGCTGTTACACAACATGTTCACAAGACTTAAAGGCACCTTTTCTTCTTTCTTTAAACACTTCAGTTTTTCCTGTGACATATTCTATCTTTAGTTCAATTAATAATATAAAACAAAACAAAAATTTAAATATATCCCTGTCAATAAATCCCTTTAACCTAATATTAAGAAACAACAAAAATCTAATTGAAGTGCAATTTTTCATTTCTACACATTTCCTCATCTGCTTCCTAGTTCTGATATTTTTGTTAATTGGATCTGAACTAAATGTCCAAATTTAACAGAACAATTGAGCCAAACTGAAGTAATGCACTACACAATTTTTTTGTTGTTAATAGATAAATGCCTTCACTTTCAGAGTCATTTTCTTATCTATATAAGTGACTAATACAGATTAATAGACTCATTGGAAAAACTACACGATATCTAAGATGAACAAGCAAATATTTTCTTGAAAATATCCTTTTCACACTGTGAACAACAATTCCTCCAATTCACAGAAAAGATATACATTTGCTTTACAGTTTGAATTAAGTTGAAAAACATTTTAAGGTACTGAATTTGAATTTTTTTGGAGGAATTATTCACATATGGAAAAGCAGAAGGTCACTAAAAACAGATTTTAAAGTGATGTATTTTAAAAGCTTATTGTTACAGCATATTGAATCATCGCAGAAGATAAGCATAAGAGTACAAGGCCTTTTGTCTAGCAGTTCTTAGTAAGGAGTTGCTGTTATGTGATCGATAACAGGGAAGAAGCTTGGGAAAAGACAGCCAGAAGGTAGAAAACAGTGATAGAGAAGCAACTCAGGGAAAGATGGAAGAGCTGCAAATAGCAGACTCAGAGAAGTTAAGGAAAAGAGCAGATGGGCTGGCAGAAAAAGCTACTCAGAGAAGCCCGTGATAATATAATTGCTTAATTGGCTAGAGTGTCTGAGCAAGGAACTGCAGGATTGCCCTTTATTTGTCTTTCCAGGCCACAGATTGCTATAAGTAGCTTCTTTTTACCCCTTCTGCTTTTCAGTTTCTCCTTCCCACAGTTGAGAACCTTCCCATTAATGAGAATTTGTCATTACAGAAGCAAGCCACAAAGTCCTGAGAGACAGGGAATGACCTCTCCTGAGGTCAATGCATACATACACTGACATGGAACAGAAATCCAGAATTGTTAGGAAATAATTTCACCTAAAAATTATGTTTGGAAATGTTTTTGTTTTCCAAACACCAGTATATTTTCCTTCTGAAAACTGCTTAACTGCCTTTTTTTTTTTTTTTTTTTTTTTTTTTTTTTTTTTTTTTAGTCCAAATGGCAACAATTTATTGTATTAAACAGGACAATATATTCTGCTAAAAAATCAATGATAATCATTTTCTTAGAATATTGTCTTCTGGGAATTTGGACATTTTTAGCACAAGTGAGGAAGTTTCAAGTTACAGCCAATTATATAGCCATGTAAGTCATTAGCTAGCTATATGTATTTCAATCACATTATCCAGGGAGGAGTATTTCTCAACCCCACAGAGAAAATGGGAGCCCAGGCAATAACAGCAATACAAATGTGGCTACACGCTGATCAGCTCATGAACAAAAGAAAATGAACCATTTCAGGTTCAGGAATACAGTGTTCTATTTCAATCAAAAATGCCAAAACAAAATATTTCAATTTCTCCAAATGAGTGTTCTGTGGGCTGGTGTTAAAATTCCATCTTCCTCAAAATAAAAGCAAATCTCGATATAGCCCAGGGGAGGAAACCATGCAATTTCTTCTCATCTACTTGTTTCTACTCCTCATTTTCAGAACACATCCTAAATTATAGAAGTAGTTAGTAAAGAGGACAGTGAACATCATGAAATGTTTAAAAAAAGATAGTCTGAGCTTCACAATAAGTTAGTAGGAACCATAGGAGTCTAAAGAACCCTACCAGTGTGATGAAAATAAAATTTTATTTGGGATAGAATCATCGCAACTGAAATCTAAACAAAAATAAACAGATCCACGATGTAACTGTTCATGCACATACAAAACACTAAAAACAAATTCATAAAGATATCCTGTTGTCAGAACTCAGCATTAATTTGCTTTCCAATTCCAGTCAATTTGTTATCACAAATGCCTTCTATTAAAATGTTTTATCTGATACAGGGTGAATTAAAACTATCTTTTTATTCTGATGATAGAGATGCACTTAGCAGCATATAAAATAGTGATTTAATGGACACTTAATGGTCTGACGCTTTAAATGAACAAATCATAAATTAAAGCTTTCGTAGACTTTTATGCTTTCCCATTTGGATCCTAAAAACACAATTTGCATTCATTATTTAGGGCTGATATATAGTAGTTTGCCTCTCAATGACATTCAGTTGTATCACAATGTTTGTCCCCATCGCACGCTTGATAACAACATTTTGCCTTTTAAGGAGCTCTTCATTTAAGGTCCTGCTCACAGCCCTCCCAAGCTGAAGATGGGCAGAATTGTTTCAAACTCCTCTGGGTAACTGAATTTACTGAAATAACTAGAAACTGAGCAATTGCTAGCTATAAATCTATTTCTTCTTCTCCAATTCACTTCATAATTTCAATCGAGACGGTAGGGCGTGGATTTCCAAATCATCATGTGAAAACTGAGCCAAAAACCTTGATAAGTAAATCATAGTCTTGTATGCACCAGATATGACACTACAAGAAATACCTTCACATAAATAGATTTGAAAAAACACATTTTTTCCCTTCTGTAAGTATTTTGTGTTTTAAAATGCTCTTCTATATGTTTTTTACATCTGAACATTTACTACTGCGAACCAAGGAACCTCAAACTATGATACCTGCTTGTCTCACAAGATAAACCAGAAGAAATAAAACAAAACCCCAAAACCTACTGAAATCAAAGCATCAAGATATGTAAGTTCTTAAGCACAGCAATACACATATTCTAAATTGAATTCAAGGACTTCTACCCTACTACCTGGCAGTTTATGTCCTGGTCCTCAGTCCTGGGAGAGGGAAGGCAATTCTGTGCTCCCCACCATCCTCAGCCATGACTTGATAGAAGAGAAGGTTCATGGGAGGTAACTGTGCCAGTCCTTTAAGCACTTCTTAGAAAGAGGAGGAAAAAGTCACTACAGGTTTCATTCAAGGCATTTATAAGAAATCACACATCAGACTGCTTGGTAACAAAGGCAGAAACACTCTGTTCTGTACCCATTTCCACCCACATATGCAAACCATGCAGCTGGCCTTTCCTCCAAACCCCCAGTACAAAAGCCTCTGCTCCCATCATTACTGTCTAATAGAGTACTCTAGAATCTGTCCAAATAGGAAGACAAATCTGTAGCAACAAAGGCATAGCTGTTTTTCTCTTTTAACCAGTAGTTGATCCTCTCTTGTAATTTACCTGGCAAGCAGCTCGCAAAACAGCTGGTCACTCACTCACTCCTCCAATTCCAGTGAGGATGAGGAGAGAATTGGGGAAAAAAACATAGAGCTCTTGGTTAGAGAGTATAATACTTATTTATCGAGACAGTAAAGGAAAATCACAATGGTAATGATAATAACGTAACATAAATTTACAAAATCAGTGTTGCACAACACAGTTGCTCGCCATCTCTCAACCAATGCCCACCCAGTCTCTGAGCAGCAGCCATTTCCCTGGCCAGTTCCCCTCGTTTTTATGGCTGTTTTTTTTTTCCACATGATATGGTATGATATGATATGGAATATGCCTTTGGCAAGTTTAAGTCAGCTGTTCTGTTTATGTCCCCTCCTAGCTTACAGTGCTCATCCAACCCCCTTGCTGGCAGGACAGTATGAAAAGCTGAAAAACTGATATGTTCTTAGCTCTATACTACACTGCTCAGCGACAACTAAAACACCAATGTGTTATCAACACAGTTTTTCTCCTCAAGTCAAATTATAGCATCATACCAGAATCCAAGAAGAAAATTAACTGTCTCACATGCAAATAGAACCAATAACTTTTATAAGGGGCCGTTTTTATACACACGTACTGCTATACATGTAACATAATCCTACACGTTATCCAGTTTCCCTTCTTCCTGCATCACTGTGGCTTTCAATACATAAGTAATTTGTGATTGAAACAAATATACAAGCACCATATAACACACACGTACACATAGATTTCTGGATATATATATTCATTTTGCATATAAATATTACTTTTATTGAAATATAGTACTTACCTAAAATAAAAATAATTTCTCAGTCAAAGTATTCCTGGTTAAAAGCAATAAAGCCAAAATAATTTAATCATTTGCTCAATATATTTTGAAATTTTAAAATAGAATGCCTTCAATTATTTTTTTCAGAATAAGTAATGGAAATAATTTTAATATTACAGAAATAATTTTACTATTTTTTTCCCCCAACAGCTTCAATTAATTTAGAGGGTTGTTTTATTTCACTTCTGAATTACTCCTGCACATCCTGGTTTATCACAATCTGCTAATAAAGCATTTTCAGACTGTTTCAATGGTAACACATAGGTGGAGTATTTGTTGACCCCATAATAAGGTGTGCTTGCATTTTTTCTTCTTGTACTGTATGACTAGAACTTACCTCATTTTTAAATGTGTTGTCATCTCTAGGTCATTTCAGCCATTTCTGCCTTCTGCACCGTTTCCTCCCAGTAAGTATCTACATTTGCAATAATTCTCTCCTGACCAATTAGTATTGGAAGTACCATACCTCATTTCCTCCTATTCTCTTTCACGTCCATTTTCAACTTCTTCCATACTGCAAGCCTAACAGGATTATATAAATATCAATATCAGTATCTCAAATGATAGATTCTCAAATGTAAGATCTCAAATGAGATCTTACATCCTCCTACTTATTATGATTGCTATTATTAGCCAGTGATCTTTTCCTCCCACAAGTAGTATAGTTTTCTTTTTTATTTCATACAAAACTTTATTGCATTTTTAAAATATATAAGTAACAGTTTAATGCCATAAAAATGAATGTGAATTTCATCACAAAAAATGTGTTTAAGTAAAAAGAGACATGAGAGTAAGAAAAGGTTAAAAAATAAGATATTTTTATGCATACTTAGTCTTCCCAAAATAGTTTTCTAGTTGCTTAATATGTGTGACACAGTCAAATCTACACTGTCTATTTCATCTGTTTCAGGGCTGCATTCATTCCAATTAGAACAAAAATCCTCTTTATAAATTGCCATGTGATGCCTGTTCTTCATCCAGCCAGCTTTGGGACTGCTAATACAATCACTTGTAAACCATTATCAGACCTTCAGAAATTCATATGCTTACAGTCTTCATATTTCTGTCATCTTTCAGGGACTTTGGATATTAAATGAATTGCTCTGTGACAGTCTGCAAAGAAAAGACTTAAAATTATTGTATAAAAAGTGTGTTCAATTTCCTTAATAAAAAATCACTATAAATAGTCTATTAAATGGTCTTTTGGCATTTTTGTTGAATTTATATGTGACAAATGCTAGAACAAGCCTAATTAGACATATTAGTGTGAACTATTGTTAGGGTGCTATCGCATGGCAGTTCTGCAACATATTTCTTCTATAGAATTTAATGCTTAAACCTTTTATAATTAAAGGCTAACCATATCCATTATATATGCTTATTCGTATACAGAGCTCTTTCTTCTTGTAACCAGGTAGTCAAACGAATGTTATATTCAAAGCACTGAATACACCTTCTAATAACTACAGATATGAGAAAGCACTTTTATATTAGCTTCCCAGAACTAAGGGAAGGAGAGCAGCAGGACAAATTAGGACTGATCTCCTCTCTCTCTTTTGTAAAACTTAAGAGATTCACATAAGAGATTTCAGATCTCTTAAGAGCAGATTCCCTGCCTATCACACCATTCTGATGAATTTACATCAAAGTAAGACAATATAACACACTTTTTTCTTGTATTGTTTTCTTTTGTTTTTCCTGTTTTACTGATACAAATATTCCTAAATTAATATAATGCATACAGTGGCACTCTAAAAATCTATGTTCCACTAACGAGGGAATTTCACATAATTATATTGTAGATTGCATAAGTGTTTTTATGTGTAATCAGGATTACATGGCTCCTTATTCAAATATCTTACAAGTGTTGTGTTATAACAGAGAGGCTTAACTCTAGAAGAGTTAACTTTCCTTCAGAAGTGATTTTGATTATCCCTGAGTTTTCCTACAGAACTGCTGCTTTCTCATTTCCATCTAACTACTTTGCCCTTAATCCCTTCTACCTTTATCAGTCTCCATTGCCTCTAAGTTTGGATTATTTCAAACTTCAGGTTATATGAAGACTTATTTTACAGCACTGGCCCATTTAAAAGGTTTTCAGATTTGATGTGTGGCTTTTCTGCATGAAAGTATTGCAGTTGTCATAGTAAAAGATCTTTAGATTGAGTAGCATCATGGTGACTGAAGTCCAGTTAATGTGCAAACAGTCCCATTATTAATATGCAAGAATATGACTTGAATAGTCTTGCTGAATGATTCATTTTGCACACTATCACTATATTTGGAGTAGTTTATAAGGACCATTGCTATCTCCAAAGTTGATCGTGAGCTACAAGGAAACCCCAGTTAATTAATTCTTACATTAACTTTAGATAAGATCCTCTCCAAAACAAATGCTCAACCTTTTTCAGGAGAATCTCACTTGTTTGATTTGATCTTCTTTCAGCATGGAAGAACGTATTTGGGAAATCCTTTCTGCTTTCACAAGGCAAAAATACCTTTTGCAGACACAATCGGCAAAATCCTGTCTTCAGTGGTTGTTTTTTTTTTGCAACAAGTTTTCAAGAACAATAAAGGTTTGTGTAAGAAAGCTTTTCTATTTGAATCTGTAATATGTCTATTTATCCAAATGCTCTTTGCCAAATGCTCTCTCTTCCCTGCAAATCCATTTGCAGTTTCTGATAAATAATGACAGAAACAGGAAAAAAATTGTATTCTAGAAAAGCTTCAGACACATAAATGACAGCAAGACAATAGATACTTCTAAATTAAATTAAATTAAATAGGGACTGGAGCACCTCCCCTATGAGGACAGGCTGAGGGAGCTGGACTTGTTCAGCCTGGAGAAAAGAAGGCTACAGGATGACCTCATTGCAGCCTTTCAGTACCTAAAGGGAGCCTACAAACAGGAGGGGAATCAACTCTTTGAAAGGGTTGACATGTGTAGGACGAGGGGAAATGGTTTCAAGCTGAGGGAGGAGAGATTTAGGTTGGACATCAGGGGGAAATTCTTTACCCAGAGATTGGAGAGGTACTGGAACAGGCTGCCCAGAGAGGTTGTGGATGTCCCGTCCTTGGAGGTGGTCAAGGCCAGGTTGGATGGGGCCCTGGGCAGTCTGATTTAGCATTAAACGTGGAGGTTGGTGGCCCTGCATGTGGCAGGAGAGCTGGAGATTCATGATCCTTGAGGTCTCTTCAAACCCTGGCCATTCTGTGATTCTGTGATTCTGTGAAATTGAACAAGAATAATTAATATAAACATAGTAGGACACAGCAAAGTAAAATACACCAAGAAGTTCATTAAAAGCACGGAAGTAAAGAGGTTTAATGAATATTAGCAACGATGAATAAACAGTGTATTACAAATGTCAATCACATAAATTAACTTAAAACAAAAAGCTAATAATACAACTGTTTAAAAGCAGACATGATAAAAACTATTCAAAATAGTGAGCATTTACAAATAACTGCTGAAAAAGTGATCAGTATAAATATTCTTCACATGCAGTGAAAAGTCAGTAAAAAAAAAAAACCTGCTCTTCAAAGTTGTGCATAAATTTCAGTATTTGAAAGACTGTTTATCAGAGTTTTGTATAATATATTTTTTTAATACTTGAAAAAAAAAGCTTCTAAGGTATTTACAGATTTTGATTGACAATTTCTCACCCTGATTTTAATACTAATTTTTAAGTCTTTATTTTTAATACTTACTAATCCCATAACTAGTGTAAATGAAGTCCTAAATTATTTTGAACTAAGGACAGAAACTGAAATATCTTTTAAATATATATTAATTAGTCCATTATAATCACACCTACTGTTTCTCCATTTAATATTCTGAAATGATCATAAAGGAAAACTTAAAACTTCTTTGAAAAAATAACTGATTACCATTTAAATACAGAGAAAAAAGTCTGTGAGAAGTTTTATTATCTTGCTCCCATCTCTGTGAAAAGTAAGTTTAGAGATGGTGACAAAATAAATTCAAGTCACTCACAGTTGAAATAGACAACTAAAGAAAGACAAATATGCCCTGGCTCTCTTTCTGCTGAAAGACATTGTTTATTAACTAAATGAATTTACAATGCACTTAAGTTTTTGCATATAGTAGATGTTATCAATAACTCTAAGACTCCTTTTTACTCAGGAGAACAATTAGACAACTAGAACAATCTGCATGTAAAGTTCCCCCAGGGTTTTATTACGACTTTTGTTCATGCATTATCAGAAAGACAACCATTCTTCAGTAGAAGCCTAAAAACCCCACTTAGATTAAAAGTGAGAATGAGCAAAGCAAATAGCAACAGAAACACTAAAGTGGATTTGATTTATTTCAGGTAATGTATAATCAGATAAAGTATTTGGGATCACACTTAAGTATCTTTAAGAAGCCTGCGTAGCATGCGCTTCTGTTTTCATCTGCTAGTGTTATAAAACAGCATCTGACAACTATTGGGCTCAACATTTCATAAGTATTACTAGTGGCATCTTTCTTGAATGATTGCCTCCTGTGGACCTGGAATAAATGAATATGATGAAACCTGCATACAAGCCATGACTGAAATTTTTCATGAGATTTATACAAAACAGATCCTCAGCAGTGAGAAGATACACTTAATAAATACTTTGGGAATATTTTTTTATTCATGAAATGCTGCAAGTCCTTGAAATTCCCCAGAAATTTCTGAAGCTCCAGTCATTATCACCAGTTACAGCCATACTCTTTATTTTTAAAGCTTAAAAATGAAAAAAATATATATTTACATAACAATCTTTTGCCTCCTTAGAAGAGGTTCTGCTCCTATTTTGGTCTTACTAGACAAACTTAGATAAAAAAGCAACAATTCTCAATCACATATTTTCCCATGAATAACACCGCGTAATAAATATTCCTTAACAATGAGCTAATGAGATAAGCTAATTGATGCTTGTTTTGCTAGTAATAATCAGAAAGTATGACCCAGGGCAGGTTAGTAAAAAAAACCCCAGAAGTTATAAATAGCAGAAAACAATATTTCACAAACATGTCTATATCACTCCTTAGAAGTCATATTTAAACAATGCATTACCTTTTATAATTTTTTAATGAGATTTATGAGTTTGAACTTAACACATCAGTCCAAGACAGATGACAGTTCAAAAGCTTGAACTTTTTTTTTTAGAAAAAGTGGATTTTTAATGCAACATTATTAGAATTTTGCAAGAATAATAAATGAGTTTATGCCATTGAATTAATTAATGAAATGAATCTAACCTACCTGCTGCAAATCACATGCTATTTGTGACACAACATACTCAAAACAGTTTTTAGGTTTGAGTAATTTATATACTACAATTAATATTACATCATCAATACTAAATAAATAAATAAATAATCAATACTTAGAGTTTTTCAACAGATTTCTGCTATTGCATCCTTTTGCAAATCAGCTGTTTGTCTGTTTTGTTCTATTTTGTCACAAAATGCCTGCTAATCTTAGTGAAATGATTCACAATTCCATCACCAGGATTACTTTGTTCTCTTTTTGAGCCTCAATCCCAAACCACAAATGTCAGTGAAAGGTTTTTATTGACTGTACTGGATGGCAGAACAAGCAGTACCCAGGATGTCCTGAAAATTGCTTTTGATGTTCTCTGGCTTTTTCACTTTAGCTACTTGCGTGATCATAGTCATAGAATGTCAAGCCTAATTTGTTAGCGACTCAGAAGAGGATTTTTCAAAGAATTTCTTGAAAAGCCTTCTTTCTTGTGTCTAACTGTTTCTAAGAATCAAATCTTTTTCTGCTTTTTTTTGCTTTTTGGGATCCATTGGATCTCTCCCACACCTTCACAGTGTGGATCTTATTGGAAGATCATGAGTTATCTGAAGTTCCTATACTACACTGAGTTAAGCTGTTAAGCTAAAGGAGACTGTTTACAACTTTTGTTGTTCCAGTTTACTGGGAAAAAGTTACTGAATTAAAGCAAAGCAATATATACTTCCAATGTATAAAGATAAACCTGCCTCAGAAGGTTGACCAAATATCTTCAGAATCAATACATTGACACCTAGGAGTAAAAGAAAACAATTTTAGGTCACTCTGCAAACAACAAATTCCCTTGCTCTGTGACAAGAAACACTTGTTCTCACAGTTCTGTTACTCTTTCCCTTCTCTTGACCATGAGTCACATGTCTAATTATCTGAAAGTAATTAAAGAACAGTGGCAGGCATGCTTGTAGGACTTCAAGAAAAAGGTAAATGCACTGAAGGACATGGTTTAGTAGGTATCGCAATAACGGGTTGATAGTTGGACTAGATAATCTTAGTGGACTCTTCCAAACTTAATGATTCTGTACTTACAGATGAAGAGGAATCAGGACAAATGAACAGAGCAGGCAGTTTTTGTTCAGTCATTGCTGAGGAATGTAGATGCTGACATTTTTCCTTGTTATCTCTAAAGTCAAAATTTTAGCAAGATGATGTGCACAGAAAATGATTTTTAGCTTTCCCAGTGAATAAATTAATCATAATTGCACTTTATAAAACTAATGGGAGATGAGTGAGATTATTTTGGATCTTGCTGTTTGTTGCCTGTGTAAAGATGATACATACTGCATCTTGGGGTGCCAAGGCCTTGTAGCAACAAGCAATTATGCATTCCTGCCTGCTCGGCATCTGTGATAATACCTCTTCCAAAGCTATTAAATATACGTACATCTGTGTCCAGAGAGAGTACTGCATGCTTGGATTTGATAGACGAGAGCCAAAATCTTTCTTTTTTTTTTTTTTTTGTTAATCTCTTCGGTTAACAGTGGTATTCTAAGTAGCTATTTCCTTTGTTTTTCTTCAGAAGTTGTTTTCTCAAGTTGGACTTAGTAAGAATTGGTTGGCCTGAAACTGCTTTCACCAGTAACATTAAAATGAATTTTTAAAGCACAGATCCTCACAGATAGGGTGTGTGAATGCTGCTCATGAAAAAGTAACATACTTCTTGTGTCAGACAAGAGGAGCCATGCTCAGGTGGAATTTTCTGCAATTTTCTAGCATGCTTTCATTCAAAACCAAATCAGTTTGTGGCTATGTTGTGCTATCAGGTCCTTCTCACCTGGAAGTTTTAGAAAGGAAAAATCATAGTGATTTCATAATTTACTGAGGATTTCTCAAGGGGAAAAAAAGAGGAGAGGAGAGGAGAGGAGAGGAGAGGAGAGGAGAGGAGAATGATTGAAGCTGAAATCTTTCAGCTCTTCCTGTCATTCAGTTTGAGATTGGTCTTAGGCATTTTGTCATGAATTTCTTTAATGCTTTCAGAATTTATTTGGTCTCTTCGTATCCATTAATTCGCATATGGCAAAACTGAATGACAGTCACAGAAAGACCAGGAAAAACTAGCATATTCTTTTAAGAGACTAGTTCAACCTAAAGTTTCTACCATGAATGTTTAATGTCGCTACACTACTTCAGAGTACTTCAGGCTACTACTAGTAGTTCACATGTCCTTGATTTCAGTTCCAGTAAAAGAAGAGCATTTGATCTCAGCCACATGGTATGAGTATGTCCAAGTACTTCCCCTGCAGCTACTTACTGAAAGTCCCAGTTCCATTTCCAGAGACTGCTACAAAGTCCACCGGGAGTGATGGCTTTCAGAGGAGAATTTGAATTACTCAGACTGAAAATATGCAGATGCTACCTGTCCCCTTCAATCATCCAGCCAACCAGCTCAGTTTTAGACTGAAACAGAAGAAAACACATGCAGTATTAAAAATCCTATGTGTACTAGAAGTGTCTCTTCAAAAAACTAAAAATTGACAATGCTTTATTCTTTAGAAGACTTGAAAATAAGTGTTACAATAATGAAATATTAATATTTAAGGAGGTAAACCAAAACTTCAGAAAATAAGTCACCTTACAACTTACTCAGTAAAAGTTACCATTCTGTGTTTTTTGGACTAAATAGGCTGACATACAAAATGAAAACCCATCAGGACTTTCATTCTGATTCCTGACACCTAAAATATTTAGTTAAGCTTTGATTCAGCTATGACAAAGTGTGAAATTTTAACTGTTAGTGTTCACTTTTAGTGCAAAATTTACTCATTGTACAAACTATTCACAGAAACTCTTATAACAATAAAAATCTAGGCACTGTTTCTTTAGAAAGATCTTCATATGCTATTGCAATTTTCTGTAGTGCTCGTAGTACTTTGCAAGATGCCCTCTTACCTATGCTATATCTTAACTTAGGATGGCATATTTTTACATACAACAAAAACTACAGAAGGAATGACAGCACAGAGATCTCTGATTAGAATGTTTTTTACCAATATGATCTAAATGAAGAAGAAAGAGTCACTCTCAAAAGACTAGCAGCTACCAGATGCAACGAGTGTTGGTACATGGAAATTGTACAGCAACTTGAGGAAACAGTAACTAGAGCATCTTGCTCAGGAACATCACATGGATTAGATGCATCAAACATTCTTTAATTTAATAGTTAGAATTCACTTTTCTGTTCCCATAGGCTAGCCTGAAAGAAAAAAAAAATCATAGCACAAATATACCAAAACAGAAGATATGAAAACAAAGCAAGGTGAAGCTCTGAGGAAAGTTTATGAGCAGAACTTTAGCAGCAGAATGACATATCTGACAGTCTCATTAACACTGTATATGAAAAAGTTCAGAATGTTCAAGAGTAATGAGAAAGCCATGCCCATTAAGATGAAGAGGCAAAAGTAACAAAGGCAACTGAAGAATAGCAACAGGATTAGGCAAAAAAACACAACAATTAAGATTTGCAGAGAAAGAGGTTATGGTAGTTATTTGCCTGATTCAGCATAACAGGGAAAAAATAATAATCATACAGCAAAAGTTTGGATTAACAGAAAAAAAAAGAAAATTCTATAATTTTACAGCAATATACATCCTGAAAAAAAAAAAAATAGAAGAGGTGACAGGAATATAAAGAATACCTCAATACTGCTGACTTTTGGAAGGTAATAGCTGTTGTTAGGACTGTCATCTATAAACCAGTCAAAAGACCGATGTACTTGAAATGCCTTGCCCAATAAAGATCCCACATGTCACTCAAAATGATCAGACTATTTATTACAGAATTTGTAATGGAAACATGAAAGAAGGTATGGAACAATATAACAGAGACAGATGGACTGTTTTCTACATATGTCATTTAATATGAATCAGTGACTAGAATTGATTAACAGTTGCTGCTATAATGGATTAAACACATTCAAACGACTAGAGAGTAGGTGATAATTAAAATGCAAAGCACATGGCTTCAAAAAGTAACATTTTCTCCTGATAACAGCTAGTATAATCTATTAAAATTAAATAAAATAGACATCCATTTTTGAAGAATTAAAGTCATTCCACTGACAGATCCATAGAAAGATGAAAGCATCAGCATTACATTGATATTACTTATTGCTGCTTCTTCACCCAACTTTGTTCCCTAAACACTTCCTACAATGCACCTGATGTAAGCACATATACCTGAGCATTGTTTCCCATCAAGGAAAGTCCTCAAAAAGGCAGCACACAGATGCTGGAGATACTGCCGCTATCACAGTTTTCCCCAAGTGCCAGCTAGCAATTCTTTATCTTTCCATTGCATAGCCTGTAAATTATCTGTCAAAGCAACTCTAATTCAGTAGCATTGTATCATATATAATGCTTGTAGGATGAGTTCACCAAATAGTATTTATTATACTGAAAAAGACCACAGAGTTTTTCTCACATTCTCTTTTGTCATAGTCATTCACACTGTTTGGAGCAGCCAGCTCTGGTGAGTAATTATTTGTGGTATTTCCAATGAGTTATCTGGAAGACAGTTTATTTATGTAAAAGCAGACAGAACTTGTCTGGAAGAAAAGTTATTCATTGTTACTTGACTTCTTAAAAGAGCAAGATGTAAATAATTTTAGGATAGGAAAAACTGCAGAACAATGAATGCAATGAGCTCATTGCACAAATTTGATTTCTACTTCATTCTAAAATATGGAAATCTAAGTATAAGAGTGTCAGTTGAAAAAATTTCATACTGATGCATTTTTTAAATTGCTTTATTTATTTTAAGTAACTAAAAACCAGAATACAGATTTCCCTAAAAATCTCAAATTGTCATAGCTATGCCACAAACTACACTTGTACTTAAAATATTTTACAAGATAATTCTCCTGTGCGAAATACAACCTGATTCTGTTGTTTGGTTCCATGATTTAAGTTGAAGTTTACTCATGGCTTATATTCATATTAGTGCCTGTCTTCCCAGCTACAACAACAGGAAATATCACAAATATACCATGAAATTAACCATATAAGTACCAAAACAAAAATATCAATCACTCTTGCACTCTGCAGTCACAATAGCATTATGTTACAACTAACCTGAATTATGCTGTTTGGCAATGGAAAGAATATTCAGGAAAAACAGGGTTTTTTGTTTTTGTTTTTTTTCCCTCTGCTTCCTCCCCTAGTATTTTATGGTGTCTTAATGAATCTTTTCAGCAATATTTATATGACAAAATACAAAGTTAAGAAGAGGAAAACAAATAGTTTCAATCAAAAATTCCAGCAAGTGGTTTGAGAAAGTAAAATTTCAAACCTTTTTAATATACCTTGAAGAGATACTTCTCTTATTGTCAGAAGATACAATTTTTGCCAGTTCTATAAAATTATTTATCCATCTACTTTTGTGCACACAATATGCTGAAAGAAATACTAACTTAATGCATAATCTCAGTCTTTTGACAAACAGGTGTGCATCTGTGTATATATAAATTTCCCTGCGGTTCGCATAAGCTGAGGTACTGGCCTTTTTCTTTAAACCTAGTTGCTTAGCAACTAGGAAAGATAGAGCATTTTTAGAAAATAAGTCCTCATTGTTTAACAACAGTTTGAAGATTTTAAAGTGTGTGGATTTTTAGTAGATGGGACTCAGTTACACAAATTTTAATGAGTAAGTCATACTCGCACTGAAATCAAGGGAAGATTTTTCACTCAGTTTGCAAGGTAGGACTTCCTGTTTGTTGCTTTTCCTGTTTCTTTTTGTTCTAAGCCAACATTGAGCACAATATATAGACTATTTCCCTGAGCGCAAAAGGTGCTGAATGTTTTCACCAACTTCAATTACACCTTCTCTGAAAATGATTCTTTCATGAGCACTTATGAGAAATGACAAATGACATTCATAATAAGCCATGTCACTGGAGCACTAATCAAATTAGACTTACTACCTTTGCAATCACAAGTGGGTCTTCATGTTTTATATCTGAACACAATTTGAGTCAAGTTAGCTTGCCAGAACACTGCCTCTATCCTCATAAAAGTATATGACAGCTATAACAAGCATTTTGGGAGTAGGCAGGTGCAGCACAATACAGACACAGCAAGTCTAATGAAAATATAAACCAGACTGTTTTCCTCACTAAAAGCTGTATTTCTATTAGCAATTCAGAAAAATATCAATGGTAATCAATTAAGAGTGATTTGGATAAGACATTCTGCAGATGTAGGAGATTAATTATAATCATGTTAGCTTACTGATTGGCTAATTCTGTGTATTTATTTAGACAGTATAGTATGCATTGCCTCTAACATTAAGTCTGTTTTATATTTCCTACTGTGTGGACTGAGAAAGACAAAGTGCTACAAATATTTGTTTTGCCTAATGAAAAGGTTTGTGCTCTAGTGCTTGCAAATTGTGATTCAAAAACCAGGACTGGAAGTAGCCTGAGAAACACATTGTTTACTGTTTGATTAAAACACTTAAATAAGTCCTGAACCATCAAGAATAATAAGTAGGTGCTCAACACATAATTTCTTACCCAATTATTTTTAAGAACTCTTAGAAATATAGCTAAGCATCATAACCTTAAGCCCCAAAATCACTGAAGTAAAATAGCAAATGAATAATTCAGGTAAACAGTATTCACAATTAAATTATAATTTTCTCAAGAGAATCCACTATCATGCATTACTTAATAAAAATATATAAAAAAATAAATTTCATAACCATCTCACCAGGTAGACTTTTTGAAATAAGGTGTTACATGTAGAGATAAATGTATTAATATAGGATTCAAATATTTAAAACACTGAATAGAAATTATATTATGGTTTCCAGCAATGCCAGTTTCACTGTGCCATCTGAATGGTTTTATAAATTTTCAGTGTTTTAAAAATATTAAAAAATTTTATCCTCAATCTGACAAATTTCATTTCCATTTGCTTAATATGTCTTGCTTTTCACCTGATGATTGCAGTTTTACGCTGGTGCCAAGTTGTATCTAATGCAAACAATTCCAGCAGATCTTTGCTTACATATTTTAGTTAAATTACCTATTTTAGCAAAATAGATAATTTAAATCAAGGAATTAAATCAAGGAAATTATTTACATTAAATTATGTGACATTTTTCCTTATAACATAATGAATGCTACATCCCGGTTTTGTTAGGAATTTTCACTGGGAAAAGGTAAAGGAGAAAAAGAAGTAAGCTTTTCTATTCTGAGCAAAATTCATATTCTCATAAACACGCAAGTTTTACATCATTCATGTCCAGGGAAACACAGAACAGCTAAGTTTCAGTTAACAGTAAGCTAAGTTCACCTACAGCCACTAGGGTGACAATAAAAGCTGGAAGAGAATTTGGGAGAAATTTGCAGATTTCCTTGATATTAATTCCATTTTCCTTAACAAACCTGTCACTTAAAAATTTAAACTTCCTGAATAAGACACTCACTTGGGAATGTGTCAGAATTGGGAATGTTGTCAGAATGTTGTCCCTTCCACAGGGAAGATGCTCTCTGGTGCAGCTCTCCTGCAACCAGTTCCTCATTCATTGTATAGAGCACCCAAAGTGCATAAGTATATGAACAAAGAATAAGCTGCATATGAACCGATGCATTGGAATTATCATCTTCATTTTAAAGTAAATATTAAAGCAAAACAAGCAAAAAACAAACAAACAACAACAACAAAAAAAACACCAAACCACTTGAGAACTTGCATCAACTTAAGGAGGATTAGTTGTTACTTACATAATTATTTATCTGCTTTTAGCAATGGAACTCTGAACTAGAGCTGGTTCTAATGTCTGATTCCTTACAGGAGTGAATTTTATAATTGGGTAAAGTTGTTTTTTTAATAGGAACTCAACAGTAGTTCTGTATTGTTATTATTATTTGGGTGGTTTTTTTGTTGTTTTTTTGTTGTTGGTGGTGGTAGTGGTGTTTGCTTGTTTGTGCTGTTGTTGTTATGATTTAAACCAAACCAGAAATGAATTAATGGCTGTAGTATTTTACTCATATTCTTCATGTTCTTATTAAAGATGTCAACTACTACTTCAACACTTGTCAGAGATACAGCAAGCTCTTTGGAAAATGTATGTAAATCTCCATATATTCCAGGCTGACAAAGCACTAGCAAGATGAAAAGTTGTAAATACACATCGCTGTTCCCAGCCTTCGGGTGCTTCATAAAATATGACATCTAAAAAATTAAAAATTAACAATTCAAAAATACCTGTTCTTGCAAAAATACAGGTCTTTCATATGATTCTTTTTATAATAACAAAAATCACTTCTGTTTTTTCTCAAAGAGCAGAGCTAAATAGACAGCCACATTTTCAGTTCTCCTTTCAAGCAGAAAGGGCTTAATCATGTTCTGTATTAACTTCTGTTTGCCAGCACCATGTGCTCTACGTCCTGCATGCTAAACACAGCAATTAATATCACCTTTTATCTGCTGTTAGAGAAAAACGGGCAAACCTCTCTGCACCCCTTTCATTACTTCTGTCCCTGTCTGAGGGATACAAGTATTATGGATTGGGCATAAAAAGACTTGAACAGGGCTTAAAAGATTATCTCTGAATAGGAGGACAAGTAAATCAGTTCCACATCCTACACCAGGCCATGGGATACGCAAGACTCTCCTGTTCCATAGGAGGTTTTCTGCCTTTTGTTTGTTTACAGAATAGAGAACTCAGGGTTGCTAAAAAGCAGAGTGGCTAAAATGTTATTATAAGCAAACAGACAATTTCCATCAGTAAGTGATTTTTGTCACAGCGAACTATCTAAGCAGTAGATCTTGGTGCATTACAGAATGCAGAATAGAAAACTCCAGATTTTTTTAGCAACTGCATCATTTTTCACATATACGTACCCTTCGGCTTATTTCAGCAGTACTACTAGAAATTCAATGTACAGTTGAAGATCAAATTCTTTGCCTGTTTTTAAGACAAGATTCTCTTAATATTTCATACACAAAATGAAGCTTGTTTTTACCACAGCTTGTTAGACAACCGCTACTGATGTGAGTAACACGGACAAAGTTAGAGACTAGATACATCATTCTGCTAACAGATCTACTATGGGTAGACTGAAGATACTGCAGTTTCTTGTCACTGCAGTTTTCTGTCACCAGTGAATGAAATGAATGAAAGGAAAAACATTTTCATGCTGTCAGAAAAAACAAAGAAGTACTGCTCTTCAAGGGGCAGCATCTACGTGGAAGGTCACTGGCTAAGTATTTTTTCTGATGTATTAAAACTGTTCTACAGCCTGTATTCAAACTTCTTGTAAATTAAACATTTGTAATCAACAATTGGATTAAAAACTCTCACTTCAGCTATTTTTGATGCTTTTGGAATATGAACTCTTCCTGAAGGCATTTCATGGGAAGTCTTGGCCACTCCTGAAGCATCCTAATGGCTCAGGCCCAAGAACTCCCATGACAAAATCTCAGCATCTCTTCCCTCCTGTTCAGGCTTGTTTTGCACTGCCAAAACCATCTACCCAACAAGGCACCTAACAAGCACAGGTCCCAGATAGCTCCACTATATTTCTGGAGTACTTCAGAGAGGACACTGATAAGGTGAAGTCTGAGGAATTTTAGCACGTACTGATCCAACATACTATGCCTGATAAAACACATTTTGATCAACATTTAATACTTTTCAAAACGTAAGGAGGTGTTCCAGCAATGGGCAAACATCTAGCTGCAACCTCCATGTTTGGCCATAGATCTTAGTATGGAAGCCTCCATTATACTACAGAAACTTGAAGCAATGCAGCATGCCAACATAGAAATTAAAACTTACTTTAAAGATGGGGAACAAAGAGGTAGCCAAGTACCCAGAAGACAACAAGGTCTAGTCCTGAATCCTTCCCAGAATGTCCTAAACTGAGAAAAGCTGCTTGTGGATATGGCAAGGTTAAAAGATAAAGAGATAGACAGAAATATTCTGGAGGATTGTTTCTGGATGAAATTTCACAGGTGACATTTTAGACGATCACATAGGCTGTTCCAATAACTTTTCTGCTGATCTTTCCTATAGCTTAAGCAAAATAGGAAATAATTGTGTGTTCTGCCATACTTACCCTCCTCTTTTGTAACAGATGAAACTTTCTCAGAGTTCACTGGCAGCACCACGTTAAACACATCTGTGTTGAGGGGAGAGAAGATGCATACATCACAGGAGGTCAGCAGAGCTGACTGGCAGGAGACTTCTGCCCCACTGCTATGTTTGAAAACCAGAAGCAATTCTGGGCATACCTTCAGGATTGTTATGTCTCTACCCAGGGATTTCCTTTCATGGGAAGAATGAACAGCTGGAAGTATTAAAAACAAGGATGTACATATAAAGTCTTCACCAGTAACCTGGGCTGAAGAATGAAACTTAGCAGATGGGCTATTTTCTCCAGGCAAAACTGGCAGTTCCTTGGAAAGCAGGTGGCAGGCAGCTTTCCTCCCTAGTGCCACAAAAGCAATAAAAGGATATCAGTTTATAAAAGAAAGAATAGCTAAGTTAGAGTGCTTATTTTAATTCTCCTTCTGAGGTTTAATGACTGTATCTTTGCACAAAAGCTTTATAGCACTGAATTACCCAAGGATGGGGTTTTGTTTGTTTGTTTTATCCTCCTTTTCAAAGAAAATGAAATGTTTCCCAGAAGACTTAATGAGAATTTGCAATACTGTTAATGTTTAAACTTGTAGTTGGAAAAACTGCTGGAATCCAGTAGCAAAAATTTGATATATTTCTTTCCTACCTTTTCGGCTGGTATACGATAACAACTCCATAGACAGTGGCTGACAAAAACAGCACAAAATCTCAGATGTGGTGTAAGACGGTATATATATATATATATATACATTCACTTTTTGGTGAATAGAGTGAACAACTGAAGAAGATTGATGCTTCCCACTGTTTCTTTCATATTCCATCTTTTTTTTTTTTTCTTTCACAGCTCAGAAATTTCTCATTATTGCTATTTAGTTCTTGAGTCTCTGAAATCTCCTTTCTAAAAAGTACTGTCCTTTGTTTTCCATGACCTCTCCCCTACTATCTACACATCATAAATTGTGAATGACTGCATTTTGACATATTTTTTTTCTATCTTTTTTGTCTCCAAGCAAGTTGTAAGTTTTTGTTATGGCTGTTAGGGGAGAGATGTGTCTAAGGGATGACTTTAACAGCACCACTATGCAACTCACTAAGTGAGAAAACCAAGTATAAACAAAATCAGAAATGGTTTTGTTAAGTCAAATCATAGATATTACTTATTTCAACACTTGCAAATATTGATAAGCAGCTTTTCTAATCAGTATCTATTTCATGGGCTATTTTCTGTCCCCCCCCCATTTCATTGAATCAGAATGTGTTTCCATCTGTACTGTGATCAAGAAAATATCCCTGTGTTTAAAACTTCATTATATGCTTGAAGAGGAATTAATTTTGTAAGTTTATTCTTTATCTGCATTGCATGTTATTAAAAGCAGATTGTTAATCATTGCCAAAACAAATCTGTAATTGAATTAAAAAAACCTCAGCTTTCAACAACAAATGTTCATTTTTTTTAGAAAAGTGTCTACTACATCACTATAGCCAATGACATTTGTTTTATTTTTTAAACAGAAAAAATAGGTACTAGCAAATAATTTAAAAAAAAAAAAAAATTAAAAGATTTTAAAGTCTTCTACTGAGATGTCAAGAATGCAATGTTTCTTTTCAGTACTGCTGTGTTAGCCATTCAAATGACATTACAAAAGTCCCAGTAGATACATGTGCTAACCAAAATGTAAATCATAGGGCAAATGGTTAACATTAAAATATAATAAACAATTTGTAAATTTTAAATAAACTAAATTCCCAAGCTTAAAGTTCCTAAAATATAAATCTAGGCTTGCTTATTTTTTTAATTACCTTGAAGTCTGCACACAGATCAAATAGTTACAGAACAAGCTCTTCTGCAAGGACAGTCTGAGTTCCGAGGAAGAGCAGATTTATGTCAAAGGCTGCCAGTAGATGATGTCATTGAAGAAACAAATTTAAATTCCTCTGGAAATGAAAAAATCTTGTAAACATCTTTACATTTAATCACAGCACTTCTATTCTCCTGCCTATGTTCCAAACACCCATGAGGATTAAGAGCATTACAAGAAGAAAACACTTGCCCAAACGAATTACTCTTTTAAAAACATGGAAGAGAAAGAACACCAGATGTTCAAAAAGAACAGAGCATAGATCTAAGAATCAGAAAGGATGATGAATATGGACCATGAAACAAAGCATTAAGCAATGTGATGAGCATCTGTTGAGTAATAAATCTAGTCTTTGTACAGTTCTCTTTCCAAAAAGAATTTAAACTGAAAGTTTTCCAACGTGGTGAAAATATTGTCAAGTAAGAACATATTGGTCATTTTCACAATAATTTTTTATCTATTAATATGAATAATCACATGCTAATAAATTATTTATCTACAGAATAAATAAATACTTCCAGCAATTTATGAATAAATTGCAGTTTTTATTGATTTGTAATCCAGATGGGGGGGGGTCATAATTGATTAACCTTCTGAGAAAACTGTGAAAGCTAAGGGCACGTGAAAGCAACAGCTATAATTTTTACATATAGATTGTATGTATAGATTACATACAACCCCTTCCTAATTAAATAAGCTTATAACATTTGAAATCATGAAATCAAAGTTGTTTTCTGAGGGAAAGTAAGTATTTGTTGAGAGACTGAGAAGAAACGGTGTAATGCAATCTCAAGATCAAGAGTAAGGAACAGCAGGAAGGGAAGACCTTTTGTTCATGAAAACAGTTGCTGTTGCGAACTTCTTCGAAAGACATTTGCAGCTGAAACAGCTGCGCTGGAGGGCACAAATTTGGCATGTAAAGGTTTCTCACTGAGTGCTTATTGCCTTTGAGCAGTCTTCTGAACATATCTGAGCATAGGCAGAAAAAATGTATACTATAACTGCATACAATATTTTTTTTGTCACAGTTTTTTATGCAGAGCACGCAACATGCAGCTAGGGAAGGATATACTTGCATCACTGCAGAGACCTTGGCTCAGGCCCAGAAAACTCAGTGAATGAGAAATATGACCTGTTCAGTACTTTAGAAAATGTTTATAACAGTATAATGCAAAGAAAGTTTGGATGGGGAAGAATTACAATTTGATATCATCTTGGAAAGAAAGCAAGCTCTAGTCTACTTCACCACAGAACTTCTCTAAAGGAAAGCAGAGCCATATGGCACATGCTCTTCTAATTATGTTGCATATTAAATAGGGAATAGCTTATACTTCCCTTTTGTTTCTCTTGGGATTGTTTGGTGGTAGTGATGATGGTTTTGTAATGAAAATGAGAATCACGATAATCTTGGAAGCTATATTCTTCAAGTAACTAGGAAAGTATTTTCAAAGAAATAGCATAATAATAATATCCTAAGTGCCCTCTTTTTGCACAATGACAGCCAAGATTCATCCTGTCAGTCTTTGTTGTTTCAAAGCATAGGTTTAACAGAGATGATAAAAAACATCCAAACCAGAGTAAAAGAATTCAACTTGAGTCAAGATACGAAACTCCAGTGTGAAGGGCTACGTAACTGTTTCTTAAAATACCTTCTGAAATAAGATTTATTATTTAGTGTCTCTTTTATCTATGCCCTGGTTTCAAGATTCAATAAGGGGGGGGTGTTTGCCAGTTTGCTCTGGACAGCAGCAGGTATACATGGAAGAAGGTTGCTCTGGCAAAATTCAGGAGGATATCTGATCCCCCTTCAGACCTAATTTCAGGCGCTTGTGTTTTATTCCATCCACATACACCCAAAATATTAAGACTTCTATTCCAAAAGCAAAAAGACAAAAACACAGTCTATATTTCCATATTAGTATTTTAAAACGACTTTTACCTGCAAGTAAATTTGTAAGGAAATGACTCCTAAGAAGTTGCACAAATTGAGCTCTTCTCTTATCAACTGTAGTCTTAGCTCATTTTACCAAATTTTTGCTCTAACTCCTTCAACCTCACCTTTTCTTTTAATCACTGATCAGAATTTCTAACTTAATTACACAAGAATATGTTGCTACACATATTTCACCTTCTCCCTTTTGTTGATTTACTATTTAACTTCTCCTCTTCTTATTAATTTTTATCTAAACTCTGCAGGTGAATAGATCAGTCTGTTCATCTGTCACTGAACTGTAGATCACCAGCTGTTACATTCCTTACAACAGTTACACTAGATTGGGAAAATCATTTTTCAGTATTGCATCTTAGCTTTTGGAAAACATCCACATCAAGTAAATGTCTAAATGTCTCAACGTGAAAAATGTAATCTCTACAAACACAGAATTAAACTGCAGAATTGTACTAGATCAGGCCTTACATATTTTGTACCAATCAGCAACAAAGAAACATGTATGTGCCACACCGTGCATAGTAATGGTGGTGGAATAACCATCTTTTCAGTAATACCAAAACTAATTTTCCATTGATGACATATTTTTTTGTCAGGGTTTCAACTTATCTGTGGGCAATGCACAGCTGCTGATAAGAGAAGTAGCATCTTTGCAAATTCAACTCTTCAAGGAAAGAGACTGCACTCAAATGACAAAGGAATGTAACTCATAACATAACAGCATAATACTATTAAAATTATGTTGCATCTTACCCTTCAGGATCCAGTGTTCTTAGGTTTAAAGGAATTCTTCATTATACCTACAATATTTAATTGAGAAATGATAAAGGCATTTTGTGAGAAACATTCTCAGGAAGGAAAACTCATACAAATATGCAATTTCCAAAACACAGATATGGATTGTTTTTCAGTTCAGATGAAATCATAGATCCAAACTCATTAGAATTGCTTCTTCTCTACCATCTTTTCTTCACAAACTCCTAAGGAGGTTTTACTAAATGAGTGACAAGGTCATATACTAAGAATCAATTTGCTGTGATACAATTAAGAAAGCAAGTGAAATCACTTCATTTATTTACTACCCAAGAACATCAGAAAATTTGAAGTAAAAATTCTTGTAACCATGATGTACCTAAATTATTTTAAAAATTCCAGTCAAATCACCTAAAATATGATTCAGTTCATGGTAATATCATGGTTTCTTGAATGAGAGTGATGCAGAGAACAAGACAATTGCTACTTCAGGCCAAATCTGTGATGTGTAAAAACTTCTGAAGTTTCAGAACTGGATAGAGAAGTTAGAACATCAGTGAATTATTAGATTTATAATTTTACAAAATTTTTAAATTTATATATTTATAAATTTCCTATTACCCCTGTTAGGTCCTAACCATGTTACCCAGCACAAAGACAGTAGTGAGTGGGAACTGCTGGCCCTGCAGTGCTGTGCCACTAGATGCCCCAGCTCTAGGAAAGGAGAAGCAGAAGGGCACTGCAAAACTGGGGCTGACTTCCAGGTCCACATGAATTGTGAATCTGTAAAATTTTTACTTTGGCATTATCAGGTCTGAGTTTATTGCATCCAGGTTAATGCTGTTCAAATGATCTGCTCATTACATAATTCACTGTGCATGAAAATTTTCTTATATGATTTTTGTAGTGAAATTGAATTCTGTTCACATAGGAAGATAAAAATCTATTTACTTATGCATTCTAGTATAATTATGCAATTTAAAATGTCAGGTGTTGTAGACTTAATTCTCCAATTACACAAACAGCACAGTAGTTACTTAGGGTGGGCATGGTCCCCACTCTGTAACTCTTTCCTCCCTTAATCTAGAGTTTCACCACAATTTTTGTTAAAATTTTATACAAATGTAACTAAAAAAAATCATGTTCTGTTAACAAAAACAGAGGAACAAAAAAAAAATTCATGGTAACTTGTAGATTAAGAGCTCTGAATGCACTTGTATAATATTCATGAATAAACAGAAGCATAATTTTATTGAATATTAATATTCATGAGTGAGGCTAAATAAAATCAAATTCTCTTACTGACTACTGCCTTCATCTAGAAGATTAATTAAATTAAGTTCTACAAGGGCAGTAATTTCATTTCAAAACTCATTTGTAAAGGAATGGTCACTTTATCCAAATGTTATCTTTAAGCAATAAATTCAGAAGCGTTACTTCAGGCGACACTACTCATAATACATTAATGGATTTGAGAGCTTGATGCTTCTTAATGACCTTAATATTCAGGGAAAATATTTAAATCATGATTTTTGTTTAATATTAAAATATGTTGATTTCTGTTGGAAGCTGGTACATATAATGAAACAGAAAAAAACAACCATTATGTATTCCCTACACTATGTTTCACAACAAGTAAAAGGTTATAAGTAATGTTTCGCTGGAAAATATTAATTTATTAAATGAGATAATTCTTCATATTTTGAGCAAGTAATGACAGCAGTGAAATGCCCTCAGACTGATGGATTAATTGAAGCTAAGCTTTATATTCAGCCAGCATGGGTTCATGAAAGGCAAGTCATGCTTGACCAACTTCATCTCCTTCTACGACTGGGCGACCAGACTGGTAGACAAGGAAAAGGCTGCTGATGTAGTCTACCTAGATTTCAGCAAGGCCTTTGATACGGTCTCTCACAGCATTCTTCTGGGGAAACTGGCTGCCTGTGGCCTGGACAGGCATACCCTTCTTTGAGTAAGGCCCTTTGGCTAGAGGGCCGTGCCCAGCGGGGAGTGGTGAATGGAGTTAATTCCAGCTGGTGGCCCGTTACAAGTGGTGTCCCCAAGGGTTGGTACTGGGGCCCATCTTGTTTAATATCTTTATTGATGAGGGGATTGAGTGCAACCTCAGTAAGTTTGCAGATGACACCAAGCTGGGAGATGGTGTCGATCTGCCTGAGGGTAGGTAGGCCCTTCAGAGGGATCTAGATAAGCTGGATTGCTTGGCTGAGGTGAATGGGATGAGGTTCAACAAGGCCAAGTGCCGGGTCCTGCACTTTGGCCACAACAACCCCATGCAGCATTATAGGATTGGGGATGAGTGGCTGGATGACTGTGAAGAGCAAAGGGACCTGGGGGTGTTGGTTGATGCTCAGCTGAACATGAGCCGACAGTGTGCCCAGGTGGCCAAGAGGGCCAACAGCATCCTGGCCTGCATTAGAAATAGCGTGGCCAGCAGAAGCAGAGAGGTACTGCTCCTCTGTACTCATCTCTGATGAGGCTGCACCTCGAGTGCTGTGTTCAGTTTTGGGCCCCTCACTACAAGAAAGTCATTGAGGCCCTGGACATGTCCAGAGAAGGGCAACGAAACTGGTGAGGGGTCTGGAGCACAAGTCTTATGAGGAGCGGCTGAGGGAGCTGGGATTGTTCAGTCTGGAGAAGAGGAGGCTCAGGGGAGACCTCATTGCACTCTACAACTTCCTGAAGGGAGGCTGTGGTGAGGAGGGGTTTGGCCTCTTCTCCCAGGCAACAAACAGGATATGGACACAAGTTGTACCAGAGGAGGTTTAGATTAGACACGAGGAGAAACTTTTTCTCTAAGAGTGTGGTCAGACACTGGAACGGCTGCCCAGGGAGGTGGTGGAGTCACTGTCTCTGGCAGTGTTCAAGAGGCGTCTGGATGAGGAGCTATGAGATATGGTTTAGTGCTTGTACAAGCAATGGTAGTGGGAGGACTGTTGGCCTGGATGATCTTGCAAGTCATTTCCAACTTTGTGATTCAATGATTCTATATTTCTTAAACACGTATTTTTGTCATTGCTAGCCTTGCAGACAACAGTGCAGTAGCATTATCACTTCATTTCAGTTAGGTAAGCAAAAGTCCTTACTTATATAAGTTAAATAACAAATATTTCAGCATTCAGTAAACTTGCTTTAGCAACTTTTTTTTTTAAACTTCATTTTAGTCTTTATCATGTGCTTTATTTGAAGCATGTTCTTAAATTAATCTTCTCCATACAGGTTCTCTTAAATTGAAGTGTAACTCTTCACATCATCACACCAAATGCTCAATCAATTCTTCCTACTCTTCTCTATCTCTCTTCTAGTTGTTCATACACCCCTATTAAGAACATCTCTCAAAGTCCAGGATCCAGGAACATTTCTGCCCAGAAAACAATCTTCAGTTAAACAGTTAAACAGTTAAGTCACTGACCAAACTATTAGGTGACAAAATTCAATTTCATCCTTATGCAAAACAAGAAGCTCTTAAGACCTTCAAAAATGTTAATTACCTGGGAAAATAATTTATAGTCTCCCTTTGGTATAAGTATAGGAATGAAACCCTCATACATAAGAGCTACCTCAGAAAAACATCTCTGTTACTTACATCCCTCAGGAACACTGGAAAGGTAATTTAATCTTTCTAAAGTGGACAAATCTATCAGTGAAGAATGGAAACTATTTATATTTTTACAGACCGACAAATTTATAGATCACCAACATTATTATAATTTCTATGTCACCTGGAACTCATACAGTTCTAGGAATTAAATTTTTCTTCTTGTCAAGATCAAACAGGCGTAAATCTGTTTGATGATTTATCCTATTTGGGACTAAACAGAGAATGAAGTAGCATTTCAGTTTGTGAGGTGTTAGCATCCATTAATAACTATATTAACAGACTTAGTAAGGCAAACTATAACATGATCCATTTCAAGATTGAATGCCTTCCAAAGTCTTTAATCCAGATACAGTTGTCTAACTTCTAGTAATTTCATCTAACTTGTAATTCTACTCTACTACCCTTGATGTTTTTCTAACATCCTGTTTCATAGAGTGAATCTGCATCAGCAGAAAAACAGCAGAACACTTGATGACTCTATCACTGTGATTTATTTTAACCTCACATTATCCCTCCTGTTCAGACTTCGGGGGAAGAGAACATGCAAAGCAATGCTAAACATCCAGAAAGCTCTCTTCTGCTATTAAAGCACCTTGTCCCACAAGGTTACACCTGGTTTTACTCGCCTCTTTACTCTGTTTTCAGCAAGCAAACTTCTCAATGAATGGATTTTCTCTTACTAGATATGACCAGAAAGTAAAATGAGGACTTGACCTCAGTTTTGCATCTTTAGGTCACGTTAGAATTAGACTATCTTCTATTGCACATGAGCACATACAGCATTTCCTACAAACATTTAAACAGAGAGAATAAAACTTGGAAACTACAACCTTCATCTCACTAAAGCAAATCTTAATTTATTCTTGCCCCTGAGAACTTTATATTGTTCTTTTATTTGTAGTCTTTATTTTTTTAATATTTCCAAATTAAGTATACTGCCTCGGTGCTGGAATTGCAATGAATTGATAGCTGGTTTTCTAGTATTCTAGAATTTCTATGAAGTACCCACAATCCACAGTGAGACATAAATTAAACGAAAAGCAACACAAGAAAAATATATATAAGCCAGTGATTACTTTGATTTCAATATTACTTCTAGTATTTACTATTTTCTCCAAGAATACTGATTTTTTCCCAATGTGAAGAAAGAAATGTTTCTCAGTGATATTCTTAATCATGGTGGTATCAAAGATTGCAATATGAAACTGCTTTGTTTAAGGCATTACACATTAATTTAGTTTAGCAGGGAAAGAGATGAAGGATTAAATCTGAAATCCGATTTAATTATTGGAAACTCCTGCAACTTTCATTAATTTCTGAGACATAATGCAGTACCTTTGGTAGCTGGAAAGCTTTCTGAAATTTTTTATTCCAGTTTATCTGTTTTTGCAAAACCGCATATTGGACACATGCCTTGATTGCAATTCTTTTAAATATTTTTGAAGTACTTTAATATATGTTTAACAAGTTAAAAAGATAGCCTTAAGCATCAAATTATGAGGATATTTGACATACTTTGAAATCTTCAAAATCTGACTACACAGAAAAAATATTTGTATTTTACTTAGTACTTCGCAATCCTCTCTATATGATGTTGGTGCTTAACTTTTTTCTGAACTGATTTTCCAGGCTTAAGTATTCTTTTCAAGTCAAACTGTAACAGCTAAATTTATATCAATAAATGCATCACTTTTTTCCTATGAGAACTTATCTCAGACTAATGTGATATTCTATTATGGATAATTAAAGTAGCTCTAAAATATCACTTATATTAAGGGAAAAGTTAATTTACTGTGTATTTTTAACTAAGGGTGGCATTCAGTATTACTCATAAACATGCTAATGGTTTGAAATTTCTGTATTTTTTCCTTTCTTTTTTTAAAGTCTTCATCTTGTTAGAATTCAAAGTTTAACTAAAAAAAAATACAAGGACAATAAGCAAAGATGTAGGAATTACTGTGGAGCAATTGACTTTAAGAGCTAGAATTTTTTGATCTCTTAGCTTTTTGGCACTGCTTTTTTTTCTTTTTCTTTTTTTTTTAAATATGCAAGTGCATTTCATAGATTCTTCTTTATCTTAATATTAACAAGAGCTTGCCAGCACTTTTAAACATTTAAAATTAAAAAATAAAAAACACACAATAATGAAAAAATTCTAAACCACATCTTTTAGAAAAAAATATTTTTGACAGATTCCATGCTAATATTATCAGTTGTATATTTTAGCAAAAGCAATTTTCTTAATGATTATCCAGTTATCACAGACCTCAGTAGCAACGGTATTGCATTCTTGCTATGTGTTACGTGGAATAACAGCCCAGTTTACATTGTTTAAACCAAATCAGGATGAAGTGGTTTATTGATTTAGTAATGACTTGTAATTAACATACATTCAGGATTGATAGCAGTAATACTACATACAAACCCCATCTGTGTGCATGGGCTAAATGTTAACACCCGCACATTCCTACACCTAATCTCACAGCAACATACCCAAGTCTGCAACTTATTGTGCCTTGAGCTGCTGACTACTTTAGAAGGACTGCCCTGTCTGTCCAATACTGAGGCAGAGTCCACCATATGGGTAGCAGGCAGCATCACATCAGATTTGGGTCACTGCCACTTCCACTTCAAGGAAATTTCCCTGCTTCTTTCAATTGAAAAAATGCCCCAAAGTTTAGAATGGCAAATACATCATAAAATCATAGAGATCAGAAAAGAAAACTAAGGTCATCTACTGCAACCATCAGCCCACCACACCCACTAACCACATCCCTCAGTGTCACATCAATAAGCTTCCTGAACACCTCCAGGGACAGTGACTCCAGCACCTCCCTGTGCAGTCTGTACCAGTGCATTACCACTTTTTCTGGGAGGGGACAGAACCATGACAGTTGATCTAAGCTGTCCAAAGGGATATTCCATATAATACGACACCACATGAAAAAAAAAAACACAAAAAAATCATAAGAATGAAGAGAGTTGGCCAGGGGGACAGCTGCTGATTAGAGACTGTCTTGGCATCAGTCAGAGGGTGGTGAGCAACTGTGTTGCACATAGTTTTGTGAATATAAATCATCATTACTATTAGTACTTTTTTTTCTCTTTTTTCTTTCTTTTCCTTCTCTGTCTTGGTAAATGGTATTTTATCTCAATCAGCAAGTTTTACTTTGTTGCTTTTTCCCAGTTCTTTTCCAGAATGCATTGTGAAGGAGGGGGAGTGAGCAAATGACTGTGTGGGGCTGAACTTCCTGCTGGGTAAACCACAATAAGCATCATAATAATCGCGAGTATAAAAGAAATACAAGCACACAAAGTGCAGTATTGATCAGAAAATCTATGAAGGATGATAGAAGAAGAAAAAAACCCTTAAAACAGAGTCCCTTCCTTAACCTCTGGAAATGCTTTTCATTCTTGTCTTTCCAAGCTCATTAGATGACAGACAATTTAGTCTCCTTTACATGTGACAGATTTAGTATTCATTTGCAGTGTTCACAGTCCAAATGTGTTACACGAGACACAGCACAATTTCAATATTTGATATACTCTTCTAGCCATCTCAGAAATATGTGCAGTCAAACATCCAAAATATTCAGAACCAAGTTTATCAAGATATTGACTTTTCTCAATGTTAGAGAAAAATTTAAACTTCAAAAGGTTTTAAACAAGAAGTTGTAATATTCATATGTGTATTCTTTTCACTTCTCATCATGGTAAATGATTTTTTTTTTTAATCCATTACAGGCTAGAAGGAAAAGTACTGCTTGTGTTTCCTGGATTTGGTGCAGAATACAGCTGTCAGAGCCCCTTGGAAAACACAGCAGATTTTCCATACCTTCAAGATGATCTAAAAGTTGTCAGTTATTGAGTGGTAATACTGATAAGTGAGAAAACAGTTTGATTAGCACTTGATACAAAATCATTTCCAGCACCCTATCAATTAGCATTTATGCTGCTGTCGCTGGCTCCTGCATATATTTTGTTTGATGTGCTGAATACCAAATATGAAAAATCTACGTAGTTTTCACTCATCACAAAACTCAGTGAGGAGTTTTAAGTCAACTATACGGCACTAAACACCTCTTGACTACTTTCTCTCGAGACCTAATGATTTTTGAGACACTTTTAAAAAAAAAAATCATTTTCTAATAGTACATGGCAATGTCATCAATGTGACATTTATTTGAGTTTTATAGAAAAACTACTAGCAAAGTTACTGAAACAAAATGAAAGAGAACTTCAAATTGACTTAGTGTCATATTTTCTTCTCTCATTCTTTAAGAAAGCAAATGCATCAGCCTGTACAGACTAGTGGTGCATTGGTGTGTTTCTCTACAGATTGCAAGATCCTGCTTTTTATTGTAGAGGAAAACTATAACTTAGTGAATTTGACTCTAAACTGTTTTGAAAATATCAAAGCTCAAGTACAAATTTTGTGCATGACTTAAAATATAATCCATTAAAAGCAAGGCAGGATATCATATGCTAATGATTGATTTGGAATAAATATTAGTTTTGTTCAGAACACTACCAATGTCAGAGGAAAAGCAAAAAGAATCCATAAAAGAGCTGTGAACTCCGGGTGTTGCAATTTTCTCTCTTTCGATGACTCTTCCTCTCTGAAATTCAAGCCCTACATTCAAAAATCTATGTTCACTCCAGTCAACAAGAGGAACAGCTGACTAAGAAAATCTATGCAAAATGAGCACTTTTTCTGAGAAACTCCAAGAATAATGACAGTAGAAAATGCTAAGTACATAGGAGAAAAATGTACCTGACATTTTTGCCGTCTCTGAGCAAAGACGTGTTAATCAGAACCAGTTGCAGCATAAGATGAATAACCAAAAGTGTATTCAGTTAGAAACATGCAAGTACTTACCTGGAAAAATCCTACATCTCTGCCATTCCTAGAAATGCCTTAATGCTCAAGCCCCTGTTCCCATCACCAGTCTGCAGGAGTCACTTTGCAAATTCTGAATAACAAGGACACAAGAGTCAGAAACAAGAAAAATAAAAGATTATGACTGTATTTACTAATCTTAAAAGCTCTTACATCTTACATGTGAGACTTGGTTAAAACCCCAGAATAATTGTTCTTCACCTTTTAAAGGCTTCCAGAACACAATACAGGAAGGGTTCCCAGGGGACTCCTTTTCAGCACTGTCTTACTCAGCTTGTCATGGAGCTTCTGGATGTCTCTTCCATCAATGACTCTGGAAGAAAGTGTCTGAAAATCAAGTATTTCCTAACTCAGATTCCTCATTAACACCTCACTGTTAATTCTTGGATATGGACTAAGCTTAAGAAGGAGATGAGCCCCTCAGGCTGTCAACATTAAAGTATAGAAGTACTTCCATGTATCCACTTTACTTCCAACATCTGCCAACATTTCACCTTGCTGGATATTGGATGCTAATCCAAAACAGAGGCTGAAGATAATCTTTCAGTGTTTGGGTATTCATAACTAAAGACACATTTTCCTTGCCTGCCCTTCTTTGTCCCAGACAGACATTCAGTTCACTACAGTTAATGTAGATATCAAGACATCTCATAGAGCAGCCAGGGCACATAGCACAGTAGAACACAATATCTTTTTTTTTCCTTGTGCTTCAATTTTTCTCATCCCCACTCTTTCTTTGTAACCAAATTGAAATTTGTCCTGTCATTGTCAGAGCTGTCTTAGCTGTTAATTTAGCAATTTACCTTTAGGAAGTAAACTAAAATCTTGTAATTAAGTTATTTTGGTATCTAGATTCTATTTCTTTTCCAACTACTATGGACAAAGAGACCTCCCGACCAGAGAATATGAGCTGAGCTGTGCTACGATGTGATCTAACTTACCAGGGCATTTATAAAATGTTTCAAGGTCTCAATGTAGCAATTTTATTTATTATTTTAGTTTACAACCAGTAACAGGAATATTTACTATATTAAAAGGTGGGACAAATTGGTATTGTAAGGCATAATTGAACTGACATTTTAATCACTGTATCAATATATGGCAATGCCAACATTTTGCTCAGGTTAACAAATTGAGCAGAGTAGTGGTTCATTATTGTAATTTGTTTTTACAAATTGCTTTAATACCCCTTTAAAGTAAATGAAAGCTGCATTTTAATATGTGTCCCTCTTTAAAGTCCTGGAAATCCTTGAATACTGCATCCTATAAGTCTCTGCAGCCTGTGTAATCTACAGAATCAGCAAATGGAAGAGTATGAGTCAAATTAAACTTTAAGTGAAAGCTGGGAATTTCTTCTCTAAAACTATTGCTTCATGGTGCTATAAACCATATCATTTCAACAACCATTGCACTGGATCCCAGGAACTAGCAGGCGTGGCCTACTGATATATTAAACACATAATAAAAGCCACAATGGTCACTTAAAGGATATTTCTTTTTTTGTCTGTGTTTTTCTGAAGAGTGGAGAGGGACATTTACAAGAAAATGTCTCAATTTTGCCATATAGCTTGAAACTACCTGGAGATTTTATACATCTGTACTAGTATAACATGCTGTCTAACAGGGAAGAAAATCTCATGGATTTTTATTTTTCCACTGCAAAAACTTTGTACTGTAGATGCACTGTTCAAAGCTGTAGCGTATTTCTGTGTAGTACCACTGCCTACAATTGTGATGTATAAGTAGTCAGTGCTTTTAGATTTTGTTCAGCAAAAATAGAGCCACTGGCAGTGCATCAGACTTCTTGCAGTATTTGAAAGGTTGTTCTCTTCAGACATAGTTTCACCCATACTGTCTTCCAGGTATTATAATCCGTTGATTTGTACCAAATTTCTCACAGCATTTGAAGAGTGATCAAGGTGTAATCTAAAAATTGCCAGCAATCTTAGTGTTCAAAACTGCAGTTGAAGGTGAAATTCATGTGGGAAAAGCTGAAATGATTTTGGTCATGCATTTCTCTTCAAAATCTAGAGCTTTGGTCTAGACATTGTTGACAATTCTGTGATTCTGTGACTTGAGAGAAGCATTATAATATGGGATGTTATGGAGAAATATTTACGATATTTGGTTTTTAGAGAAATTCTGCAGGATTTTGGAGGGCTGAACACTCTGCTTTTTGAGTAATGAGATTCTCCAGGATCATTTCTGTGAGTCCTAATAGATTTTCAATAAAAGTAGCATGCAATAATCAGTCTAAGTGAAAAGGTAAAGGTTCCTGAAGAGATGCATGGTAAATTGTTCTGCATTTCTATGATCTTTTTAACAAGGGGTTTGATGTTATGGTTGAGTCATTTTTAAGTAAGATTCCATATGGATTCAATCAACTTACACCTACCACAAATCTTGACGCCCAAACAATTTTCCTTAAGTAAATATTTGTGTTTTCTTTTGAAGCTAATGAAATAAGAATGGCAGAAAAATATTTAAAAGGCTATGTTCAATTCCTTGTATAGTATTGCCTTGTGAAATTGCAAAGTAAAATTATAAAATATTTACATACAAGATTAGTACAAACAAACAAACAAACAAACAAACAAACAAGCCAAGTATAAAAAAAACGTTCTTAATTCCTGCTTTGCCTGCAGCTCTAAACTAATACTGCATGGATAATTATAGAAACTGACTGGGTACCTTTCAGTATCACAGTCTTAAGCATATTATGCTTATATAGGATGCGTCCTGCTACGGAATTCTGCCTATCAGTTTCAGAAGACGTAAAATAAGGCTCAGTTTATATAACATATGGAATTATGTATTAAAACAGAGTACAGCATAGCAAATGAATGAGATTCAGTTTAAGTTAGATTTAAACAGGAACTGTATTTATATCAAACAATGTAAAGGCACTATGTGTTCACTTAAACCTTTTCAAGTTAAAAGATGAAATTATGGACCTAAATAGTAACCCAATATTAACACAGTAGAGCTTCCTATTTATTATTTTTTTGCTATTTATTATTCCTTATTTATGGAAACTGCAACAGATACAAAAAAAAACTGTTTGATAGAGCTAATTCTCAGCTACAAAATGCTATTTTTTAACACAATCACCACCATTAGTTATGCATTTTTGTCCATGACAAACAAAAGCCTGCTGGTGAGCGTGCAGAGGCAACCCACTGTCACAGCCACCACTGCTGAAACACATAACCAACCACCTCACTGTGCTCGCATCCACTCTTTGGTCTCCATAAATGTTCAGAAAGCATCAATGAATTTCAATGGGCACAATTTTTTTCCACATAGAGGAATTCAGTGACATACTTTTGCTTTATATACACTTCATGTCAGACATCATTCTGTTCCATTTGCTGCCATCTGTCACATGACAACAACATCTAGCAGAATACTGGTGGGAAAACTCAGCCTCTACCGTCATACCATTAACATCCACCTCTGATGTCATAGGCCAACATCATGAAACAGGAGGCACTATGTTGGGAGCAGTTCTCATATTATGATCACATTTAAATCCTTTACAACTATAGTTAGAATTCAAACCTTTCCAATGAGCAAAGGGTGAAATTTTCATTCCGCAGGAAGGATGTGTGCACACTGCAAACCAGTCTTCATGTGAGAGCTGTAAAGTCAAGATGAGAAGTACCACTCCAGGACAAAAAAGAAAACATACCAGTTTACAAATAGACTGGATGTTATGGTTCACAGATACTTTTACCTTGAATTTAAAAAATGGGACTAAGATATACAAATCTTGCCATTTCTTCTAGAAAGACAGATTTCTGTTTGTTAATATAAGTATTTATATTCTCAACCTCTAATAAAACCTGTGTTGTATTTTCCAGAATTCATACAGTAATACATTTTTGGAGAATTTTCGTATACTTTAAACGAATAAAAGATGTGAAGGCAAACTAATGTCATATCTCAACAAAACAACAAAAAACAAAACTATAAAGTGAACAGCAGGAACTCTGCTGTAAATGATAAGGATAAATCACTTTCCAAAAGAACTGTAAATTGCTATGATGCCACGTTGAATATTTCCTGAAAGAACAGAATAAAAAAAACCAGAACTCTTAAAATACCAAATTAATTTTCCTGACACCTCCATTAATATATTTCACTTCCTTTAACCCTTTCACTTCCATAATTGTTAGTTTCTGATGCATATCCCTTTCAGTGGCACTACAGTGGAAAGGAGCTGATGCCTGTGGTGACTGGTGATGAATATGATGCATTTTTAAGAAGTCTCTTAGTGTGACAGAGAAGAAAAAAGTACAGAACTATGTATTCACCGATTCTTCCTTCCAGATCAGAATCACAGCCTGTAGTGCTGTAGTTTTAGCCTTAGCATTATGATTGGCGTTTCACATCTCTTCCTCCTGATGCCACACATACACAAAGAATGTTTCAGAATTGGCGAAGTCAGAGAATATTAAATGGATTTTTTGTATGTGACTATTTTACCTATCCTGTTGGAATAAAAGTTGTTGGGTAAAGACCAGAGGTCGAAAAAACAAAAAACAGAATGAAAAATTTAGTACCAGTTTATTTGCAGAAGCCCTGATTCTGACTTTATTTCACCAGGTTTTAATGCATCTAGGTTCATGGCAAATCTAATCCATTCATCAAACACAAAATCCTATCAAACCCAACTATTCATCCCAGTTATGGTGAAAGATTCTGGGTAAGCTGATATAAAGTATCTCAGATGTGTTTTGGTAGCATCAGGTACTACACATTCTACTCTTTCAAGTTGATATTAACAGCATAAAAACACTTCCATAAGAAGTACTCTGGTGCAGAAGTCAGAGAATCAGGCATAGAACATTATAAAATCAAATAATCAACTGGTCATTTGCTGTTGGAAACAGTCTATCATATAGCATGTATTACTGTTTATCTTCTTAGCAAATATGAGCCTGTTAATGCATTCTTTCTTTTGCATAATTTTTAAATAAAAAGTTACAGAAAATAGCTAATATCAAAGATCAGGCTAAAAAACTGCTTCACTTAATGGTGGCTGTTATTAAGATACATGCAATGCAATACATTAAAAACATTAATATTTTAACTGAATAATGTGTAATAGGTTATTTTTGTCTTCACTGCCTGAGATTTTATTCACTTACCCCTCACAGCAAAAGTGATTCCAATTGTATGGGACTCAGCTCTATTCTGAGATATTTATGATACCCGTAACTACAGTGACAACAGTGTTCTTTATATTCTAATAAACAGAATTAATTTTAAATCTTCTGTGGCCACTGAAAACATAGAACTATCAAAAAT